TGAAAAAATGTATTATTGATCGGGTCTAACAGACATAAAAAGTAGTTTTAAAACAATAATTAAAAAAAATGCATTCATTCAACGTTAACATTAACAAAAACAATGCTTTAAAATATTTTTTTTAAAAAAATAATAATAAAAAGACTGCAACCAAGTTGCCCCAAAAATTGAATCTTTTAAGTTAGAGCAAACTCATTTTTTTCTATACGAAACCACTACACAAAGAGAACAACAATCATGCAAATGAAAATAAAAGCCAAAGCTTTCATTAACCAAAACATAGCAAATGAAAATAAAAAGGAAACTGCAAATAAGGGTACACATAACGCACACACATTAGGTGAAGTGGAGGTGGATTTCAACTTGGATCTCAAATCAGAATTTTCAAAAGATTTAACAATAACAACCGTACCACATCTAGCCTTCAATCACATTAATTTTTTTTTTCATTTTTTTAGTGGGGAGGGGGCCGGCCGCCCATGCTAACCTCCCCCTAGCTCCGCCCATGGTCCCGTGTTAGTTTTAGAATCTTCTATTTTGATAGGTGCTACGGTGGAGAAAAAGGAAATGATATTTGAAAAGCACTCCAAAAGTTACAGAACACACAAAAAGGAGTGATATATATGAACAAAATGGAAATGGATTATCCCATGTGAAAAAAAAACATGATATGGTCATGTGAGAAGATCACAACCATACAAAGGTAAGTCAACGATTATGATTTCGTAACTATCTATTTTAACATTTTTTCTCTCTCCTCCTTTATTACTATTGATCCATCTTTATATGGTTATAATTTCTCACATGTCATAGTCATGTGAATTTTCACATGAGAGAATCCAGATCCGAACAAAATAATGTGTGCACCAAATGCGGTTAATAGCTCCTTACAAAATACTTTATTTTTTGTGCCAAGATAATTAATAAGATAGGATCTCTGTAATTTGTAACTATTACTAAGGTTTGGTTTTTCTTAAATGGAGTGAAATTCGTATTAAAAGTAAAGAACTCTCCAATTCTCAGAAAATAAGAGTGTGCATGACAACCATTCTATTCCCTAATACTGTTTCTGAAAAGAAATAATTCTTTTCTATTTCTGTGCCCTATAACAGTTTTTGAGAAAAAAAATGTGTTTGATAACATGTTCTATTTTTATTCCGAGAATGAGAATTGTGTTTGATAACACAACAAATAATATAATAAAAAATAATTTCTATTAAATATAAAAAAAAATTGGATTATCACTTTCCTTTCCATATGGTGTGGTTGTGGTGGTGATGACGGCGGCAGCAGTACGGTAGTGGTGGTGGCAGTGACGTGGTGGTGGTTGTGACGGTAGTGGCCGGGACGATGACGATGGTAATGGTGGCGGCGGCGACGGTAGTGGTGGGGATGGTGGTGGTGGAGGTGACGAAAGTGGCTGCAACAATGGTGGTGGGGATGATGGTTGGTGGCGTTGGTGGCGACAACAATGATAGCGGTGGCATGGTGGCGGTGGCGGTGGCGGTGATGGTAGTAGGTGAGAGTGATGGTGATGGTAGTGGCGGGGGTGGTGTAATTGTGGCAATGGTGACGATAGTGGCTGTGACGATGGTGGTGGTGGTTGGCGGCGGCGGCGGCGATAACGGTAGTGGTTGCCGGCAATGGTAGAGGTGGTGGTAATGGTGGTGGTGATGAAGATGGTAGAGGTAGAGAGTGATTGAGAGAGATAAGTGTTTATCATTTTGTGCGTAGGAAAAAAAACGAAAATTTTCTGATTTTTTTTGCGGTTCCTCAACACAAAAATTAAACCGGTTCATCCGGGAACAAAAAAAATAAACCGATTTTATCAAACGAGTTTTCTATCCATTTATGTTCCTGGGAACAGAAATTAAAAAAAAAATTGATTCTGAAAAAATTGTCATGCGCACCCTAAATTTTTTAATAATCATTTCGTATTTTTGTTTTTGTTTTTCAAACAGTCATCGTGCTTGGATCCAGATCTGGCCAGAACAGAATCATCAAATAAATAAATAATCAAAATAAACGAACTTGTAAATAAAAGAAAAAATCATTCAAATAATTGAAATGAAACTACTGGACACTAAGAATCTGGACAGGATGCAAGCGAGTGTTCATTTCATGGAATGAAGTGCCTTTATACTCTTGTCATTTGATCATTGTAATTGGGCCCCGCAAGTAAGATGAATTTGGACGTTTTGTGGTACCCATCCCATATTCTTTATCACTTATCAGTTTTTGTATCAAGTTGTGTCGGCGACACACAGTGTATAAATTAGCAACAGTATGTTTGGATTTTTTCTTTTTTTAAATTAAAAATTATTTATAAGTTAAAGTTAAAAAAAATTAAAAATTATTTGATAATTACATAAAAATTTTAACTTAAAAGTTACTTAAAAATATATATTTTAAGAAAATTATCTCTCTCTATTTTTATAGCTCTTCATTTAAAAAAAAAAGTTCACAATTCAAAAATAACATATAAGAGCTTAAAAAAAACTCTTCTTAAGAGCTTTTAACTTTTAATTGTTTTATTCATTATAAAAAAAGGAACTTTTAATTATAAGAGTTTTTTTTTTTTTAAATCTGTTTGGCCTAACTTATGCTTATAAGTAGCTTTTAGCTTAAAAAAGAGAGGATCCAAACAAGCACGGAGTATTATGTGTATTATACATATACTTTTAAATTATGATAATTTAAAATATATTCAAGAAAAATATTTAAAATTATAAGGAAAATATACATAATTAATTTAAATAAATAAGTAAATAAATATAAGCAGCTGAAATTAAGAGGTATAGATAAAATTTTAATGTAAATAAACCTAAAATAAATAAACTTCAAAGTATAAGTAACTGAGATTTGGTACAAAAGAAATCTTAATGCAAAAATAAATAAATAAAATAATTATTTTGAGAGAATTGAGATATGTAGAGAAATTTAAGAAATTTTATTATAAAAAGAAAATTCAGAAAGTAATTGATAATTTAAGAGTTTTGAAAAAAAAAAAAAAGAACGTTAAAACAATGATAATTTCACATGTCTTAAGAAGAAAGGAGCACCACTGGGGTTAGCCTAGTGGTGTGGGGTGTGTGTGTTAGGAGTGTGTGTAGTGTAGGGTGTTGTGTTCAATTTTTTGTAACTTCCAAAAAAAAAAAAAAAAGATAGAACAATAATTATAACCTCACTCTTGAAAGTGATTACTCTATTTTATTATTATATAAGAGTGGATAGCTTTTCTTATTGCACACACTTATTGAAAAACAAAATGTTATTAATAAGTTATTAAATAAAAAATTTAGTTTTGCTATAAAGTTTTATAAACTTTCTTTCTAAACTCTAAATTATATAAGTGGACATTAATAAGTCTAATGCCTTCCGAGTGAAATATGAGCCCAATTGCCATTATTCTGGTTTTGAGTTAATCCAGGTCTGTTGGATGCAGGGTTCTGACTCGTGCGATTATAATGAGTAAGAGTAGACGCTTGCAGGGTTCTAAACTCTTTGCTAGCTGAAATCTGTACGTCTTTTATTGTACTGAACGTACGTAGTTGGTGGATTGGGTAATACTTTGATGGAATCAGACTAATAAGTTGCTGTTCAAAAGGATAACACACAAAGAACATTACCATCCACTGGATTATAACCACCCCATAGCACACGTTGAATCTTTTAGCTTTAGGTGTTTCATAGTAGCCAGATTCAACGCATATAAGATCCCTTCCCGGGAAATGAAGTCTTCAGTCACAACCAAACAAATCAATAGGATGTATAGCAGTTGGTGATAACCTAGCTAAGCATAGTGTTAATAGCAAGCCAAAAATTTGAGCATGACGAAGCCATTAGTTATGTACCCCGGTCATAAAATCTTTTGTTCATAAAATTTTTACTAAGTATACAATGGGGTTTATGTACCCCGGTCATCAATGATGGTTCAATATGTCATTTTTCCTCATAAAAACAAATAAAATTAACTTTAATAAAATTTATCTCCTATCATGTTCTTATTCATTATTTGGTGAGTTGACACTATATGATAAGTTTATTCTATTGGTTAATTTTTTCCTACCCATAGCATGATAAGCTATCTTAATAAATGGGATTTTGGTTAAGATTACACATTATAGAATAGCAAATTCTCATCTTAGGAATGCAACCATATGCTTTCTCATATAAATAAACTTTGTTGGTGACAAAAGAGCTAGTTGTATCACCTGCTAACCACCACCACCATAACTATCCATAGCCATTAGTCAGCTATCATCAATATCTATATAAAGAAAGGGGGAATGATATTGTAACAACTAAGTTGTGTTACTAACATGTTACTACCAATCAATCTCACCGTTAGATCGATTATGTTGATCCAACAGTTATATTTACTTTTCATCTTTGTATGGTCATGATTTTCCAAATTTAATACTTTATATTTATTTCTACTTTTGTAGTATGATTATGATTTCCCATATTTAATGGTTATATATTTTATTGAAAATTAAGAATTTTTGTATTAAAAAATGACATTCAAAAGTTTATTATAATTTAAAATAAAAAATAATATATAAATATATCAAGAGAAGAAAAATCTAAATCAATTTTCCTCAAATACTTTATCGATTTAATGTTTCTACTTTTGCCTCAAAAAAAATCTCTTTGCCATACTCACATAAAAGAAAGTGGATCTTGTTATTTTTTTTTCTCTTTTCTTTTTATAATAAAACCCACTCTGTGACAAATAATTTTTTTTTATAATAAAAGCAAAAAAATATTTTTCCCATACTTTATTGGATAAAGTTATCCTAGTAACCACTTATTCAGTGCACATTAAACATCGGACAAAATTTGAACTTACCAAACCCATATAATTTCCTACTTTTATCCAACCCCGTATCATATTCGTTTTATATTTTCCACCAAATCAGTCTTTAGTTTCGTTATCTGTATAACTATACTGAAGACTGATTTGTAGGACCAAACAATAAATAACTCAGAAGGAAATATGTATAAAAATAAAAATAAAAATAAAAAAATATCAGAAGGAAATAATAATACAAGGAAGGCAAATGTAACATTTTCGACTAAGCTAGTTTAACACCGGAGCTCATCGCTCCATGTCTGCCATCCATTTACAATACGATACATTAATGCTCAACATAATTGATCTCACTATGCACTTCATTGATTACATAGCTGAAATTTCAACAGAACACATTTCAATAGCCGCGTGGAACGCATTCCTCTTGTCAAAACAACTTTTCACAGTGAAGTTTGACGTGATTTTGCCTGAGATATATATTTTCTATTATCAACTATAACATTAGTATGCCTCTTTACATTTTCTCACTTTGTATATGTCAGCTTCTGTGAACTCCTTCGAAAAACTCTACAGCTATTTTTGCATAGCTAAGGAGGGAGGGGAACAAAAAGGGCAGATTCTCGCCCAACAGTCGGAGTATAACTGGAGTACAACATTTTGTGCTGAATATGTCAAGCACCGTTAGCTTCCGAATCGTTCTACAATTTGCACATTTAAAACTATAATCAGGCCAGCTAATTTAAATGTTTACTACATAACAAAAGATGGAATAGTTTTCAAAAAATAACAGTTAATATAATTTACCTCAATTTCTTGTAAAAGATTTTCAAGTTCAACTGTTATCTCATTGAAGGATGGACGACTGCTTGGAATTGCTTCCCAACATCTTTGCATCAAATCTAATAGTTTAGGGTGTCCATGCTTTGGAAGTTCTGGTCGTAGTCCCTGAAAGGATGCACAACACCACAGCTGGGTCAGACACAACGTGGATACCCGTTACATGAATACAGGTCCAACCTCATTTTACTGCACATATGCTATCACAAGCATGCATTCACTGAGCTAACATAATTATTTTTGTAGAAAAAAACAATTCTTTCACGTAAGCTTTATTTGTTGTTGATTAGTTTATTTTTTCTTTTAATTGTTTATTGCTATTTTTTAATGTATAATGTTTTATATATATATATATATATATAGGGATAAGATATTGTGACAACCAAATAATGTTACTACCAATGTTACTACCACATCTTAACCGTTGATTTCCGTCAATCAACGGTTATCATTTTTCAAATCAAACTCATTAATTAATTATTAAATCGCAATAAATGATAACCGTTAATTGGCGAAAATCAACGGTTAAGATATGGTAGTAACATTGGTAGTAACATTATTTGGTTGTCACAATATCTTATCCCATATATATATATATATATATATATATATATATATATATATTATCCATTTTTTTCCAATCTTTTTGTATTTTTCATTTGGGTTTCATATGTTACGGGCCCTAATCAATTGTTGATGTTGAAACTTTATTTGTTGTTTACATATTGAAGCTACAAAGTTAATAATTTACCGTCAGATAGAAAGAAAGAAAAAAGCTTGAAATGCTTGCACAATTACAAACTTATAACTTCATGGTCAACTTCACCAATTACATTCTTGACGATCCTCTTATTGACCTATGACTTCTATCATGTTAGCTTTATGTGACTTCAAATTAATTCAGCATTTATCTCTTCCTAATAAAATATGAGATATGATAGAAGCAATCACTGAAGACTATTAAAGTGAAAAAAAAAATTCGAAACTACTTAAACCAAGTCATGTCGTTCCTACTTGAGGACAGAACTTAGACGGCCAATATATACTTCGTAACAATCGCACATAATATAGTTATTTTCAAATAAGTAAGTACAAAGAATCTTTTACACAACTAATATGAGGCACAAAAACATCAATTATTGACTTAAACTTTGCTTTAGTTGAAAGGAAAAGCCAAACAATATCTTGTATCAGCAAACCCCATTTCAAGATTTACAAACAAATGGAGCAATAAAGCACTACTTCGTAACGAAGAGGCATGTATACAATTAGGTATGGTGTTACCATGCAGCTTTACAGCAATAAATTATTGAGGTTTCAATTTTACGCATTAAAATATCATTGATAAATAAAGAGCAAACCTGTCTCACACCCAGGGCAGCTTGTAATGGAGTCATGGTATCATATGGTACCTGAAATTCCAGAAGAAAAAATTGTTTTTACAAGAATCTCCTTGTTAAATAAAAAATCATACAATTCAAGGAATGAGAAAAGAATATAAAAGCACTCCTCATTAAACTGACTAGTGAGGGTAGAGGTGAAGACAATTTTTGTACACAATCTTACTCTTGCATAATTACAAAAAGATTGTAATCCAAATTCAAACTCAAGAAGGAATATAATAAGAGAATAAAATATTATACTTCCAATTTAGAATATACCTTTGCTGTCACTAGTTCCCACAGTACTATGGAAAAACTGAATATATCTGCTTTCTGATCATAGGGCTGATGGTTTATCACCTTGTGAGAAAATCCATTAACAGTAAGATACTGAAAGTAAAACCAGAACAAAAACGAATATATCACATGGCAAGTACGTCTAATAATAATGAGACATCTCCGAGTATAGAAAAGAGATTCTGTGTACTAATTTGTTCTGCTCATTTCCTTCCATTCTAGCTTAGGCTTAGGCAGAAAAGGAAATGGAGAGGAAGTAAAATGTCTATTGTGTCCATTATAAAGCTTAAATCATAAAAGATGACGAATAAAACAGCATCATATTCTCTCCTATTCGGCTATTGTAGAAATGAATATGTAAGGAAACTCCCAATAATTCATACCTATGTTAGAAGAAATAAAAAAGGGGGCAGACCAAGTGGACCAGGGGGAACAAAATAAACGAATGTAATTAATGGGTGGGAATCTGTTAGTATATTCCTAACTGTCTTGTAACAGAATTAGAAAGAGTTTTGGTTTAAATAAGGAGAGGAGAGAAGAATAAGGAGATCAAGAATTTTGTAATCAAGAGAGAGAGAGAGTAGGCCAGAGACATTCTCTGGAGAGGAAGAGTTTTAGTGTAACCTTCATTGTATGCTTCTTTGAGCAAGAACATTTTCTTGCTGTCCTGAATAACATCTTGTGTTCTCATCATATTTTCTGTTCTTTTGACACTAGTACATTACAACTGATATCAAAGCTCCGTCCAGCGAGCTCTTCTATGGTTTTGACAAGGATGGAGACCAGAGTTGATTCACTGGAGAGGAAATTGAAGCGTCTTGCAAACTGATTGGAGCGAACCACCAGAAAATGCGAGATGAGTTCCAGCTTCGTGCAGATACCCAAGAATTGCAATTACAAGATTGAGGAGCTGATAGAAGGCCAATCCCATGGGCAAACGACTGTGGGTACATCATCAGTCTCTTTTGGTGGACACCCATAACAGAGCAGCAATGACCCAATCGAAAAGAAGCAAGAACAGTGGAGGAAATTGGAGATTCCTTTGTTATTGGGAAAGGAAGCGTGTAACTGGGTAAATCTTGTGGAAAGATATTTCGTGTTGAAGAAGGGGGAAGAATTAAAGGCTATGATGGGAGCCAAGGAAGGGAAGGCACTATCTTGGTTTCAATGGTGGGAGATTGAAGAAGGTGGAAGAAAGAGAGTGATTACAGGTGGTGATGGGAGCCATGGAAAGGAAGGCACTATCATGGTTTCAATGGTGGGAGATTGGAGCAAAAGCACCTACATGGGCAGATTTTAAAGCAGTGGTTCGCAGATTTCAGCCAACCATGGTACAGAATCCATATGAGATCCTCATGGAGCCCAAACAAACCACAGAAATTGAAGAATACAGGGCTGAATTCGAGCTCTATGTTGGACCTTTGAAGTGAATACCTAAAGGGTATTTTTTTTTTGAATGGCTTACAAGAAGAAATCAGGGTTGAATTGAAACTTCATTCCACCACTTCACTGCCACAGCTAATGGATTTCGGGCAAATTATTGATGAGAAAAACAAGTGCAGTCTTCCAATAGCTAGGACTGCTACCTACAAAAGTGGGAGTTGTGCTGCCATCTAGAATGACGGGAAATGGAGATTCTGTAATAGAATCAAACACTAGCAGATATAGTGGGGAATAAAAAGGGCGGACTAAGGGGTTTAGGAGGCTGCCAGAGGCTGAATTCCGAGAAAAGATTAAAAGGGCTTTATGTTTTAGGTGTGATGAAAAATATTTACCTGTAAAAATAAGAATTTTCACTTGATGTAGATGAAAGAAGGGGATGGTAGTGAAGAAGAGGAGGAAGGGCAAGGACTGGTGAATGGGCAATCTCAAGCGTTGCAGCTATCCATGCACAAAACTAAGGGGTTGACATCTAAGAGATCACTCAAGTTGTGGGGGAAAATCGGAGACAAGGCAGTAATTGTGTTGGTAGATTATGGAGCTTCACACAATTTCATATCTTCAACACTGGTGCAAGAGATTAAAGCACCTATTATGGTGAGACACCCATATCAAGTGGAAGTATGGTATGGTAAGAAAATCTCTTTTTGAGGGAGTATGTTCAGAATTGACTCTATGGCTCCAAGAGTGGCCAATTCAACAGAACTTTTACATTTTTGAGGGGAGCTGATGTAGTTTTGAGGATGGAGTGGCTAGCCAGCCTAGGAGAGATGAGGGCTTATTTCAAAGATTTGACTATTAAGGTGGAGACTGATGGAGGATTCAGGGTGCTGAGAGGAGATACGACTTTATTAAGAATTGCAACTTCTCTTAAGGGTGTTGTTAAAGCCTTGTAAGATGAAGGACAAGGGTACTTCATTGACTACCAAGAACTCCAAGTAGAGTCAGCTGCAACTGAGATAGTTATTGGAGCATTTAGAGGAGTTTTAGAAGAATATGCAGATGTTTTTGTAATGCCACCAAGACTACCTCCTAACCGAAGGCACAACCATGTCATTGTACTCAACGAATGCGCTGAAATCCCTAATCTGTGACCAACAAAATGAAATTGAGAAATTTGTTAATGAAATGCAAAGTGCTGGTATCATTAGACCTAGTATTGATCCATATTCAAGCCCTATGATCCTAGTAAAAAAGAATGATGGAGGTTGGAGATTTTGTATTGATTTTAGGGCTTTGAATAAAATAACAATACCGGATAAATTCCCTATAGTACTCAAACATTCAGCAATTCCCTCGTCAGTTGAAGAGGAGAATTTGATGGTTGTGGACAAAGATACTTCGTTAAATGACCCGAAAACTAATTTGTTGCAAGCTCAAGACTGCTTGTGTTTCTATGCTAATAAGCATCGCGGGCACCTAAAATTGCAAGTGGAGGGTTTACTTAAAAAATACAGCCTTACTGACTTAACTCTCTGGCTAAGAAAGTGAATGGGAAGTTAAGTCCTAGATTTTATGAGCCATAGAAAATCGAATGAAGAATAGGGACATTAGCATATCAGTTAGAGTTGGCACCTGACAGCAAGGTGCATCCTGTTTTCCATGTCTATACTCAAGAAGACCCCTCAAGCTCAACCTGAACCACTACTTACTATGTTGTGTGAAACTCGGGGGCTGCAACTCCAACCAGAACAGGTGTTGAATTATAGGGTGAATCTTACAGGAGAGGCAGAAATGCTCATCCACTGGCAAGACCTACCATCCTTTGAAGATTCATGGGAACCTTATAACACTATTCAGCAGCAGTTTCCAAACTTTCACCTCGAGGATAAGGTGAAAAGTTTGGGAGGAAGTATTATAAGGAAAATCCCAATAATTCATACCTATGTTAGAAGATATAAAAGGGGGGCAGACCAAGTGGGCCAGGGGGAACAAAATAAACGAATGCAATTAATGGGTGGGAATCAATTAGGGAATTTCTAACTGTCTTGAAATAGAACTACAAAGAAGTTTCTGTTTAATTAGGGAGAGTAAGAGAAGAAAAAGGAGATCGAGAATTTTGTTATCAAGAGAGATAGAGATAGTAGGCCAGAGACATTCTCTGGAGAAGGAGAGTTTTAGTGTAACCTTCATTGTATTTTTCTTTGAGCAAGAACATTTTCTTCTTGTCCTGAATACTGTCTTGTGTTCTCATCGTATTTCCCATTCTTTTGACACCAGTACATTACAGAATAGAAGTTTTATTCTTACAATACCCAGCTGTCAATTCTGTTAGGAATAATAATTTTAGTGTGTTGAGAAACCCAAGGCGGGAGAGCTTTGAGCAACTTCTGATTAGCTTCAGAAATAGTTTACAGGAGTATGAGGACAGTTTTGTAATGGAGGGTTATGTCCGTTTCTTTGATGTAATTGTATGGACACCAAGGAGATATATGTATATATATTTATTATCAGATAGAATTATGTTCATGTCCTTGCTTTGGAGCTCAGCACATGCCAAGGTTTCTTTAATTAAGGTCACTGACATATTTTGAGAGAAATTAGAGAGCTCTTCTACATTAATAAATGAAATTCTTTTTCCAATGTTTATTTTTATAAGAATTGTTTGAAGAGAATATCATATCCCCTCATTCTTTTCGCCCTTCTTTCCTCCTAATAAGATCTCTTCTTTTATCTAATAAACAAAAAAGGCATAATAACACACAGATAGATAAACAGTTTAACAATAGGGAAAAAAAACCTCAATACAAATACCAACATCTGACTTATAAAATGAGAACTTGACACAGCATGGCAAAAAACATTAATAGATAGACATCAGACATCTCTGTACAGAAAACTTCAATATTCTTCTGAGATTTTACCATTTAGAAATATCACAGCACAAAGTAAGAGTTGTCTTCATCAGATGTACAAGTTTGAGTCTGAAGATAGATTATTGGAATTCCTAAGAGAATCTGTCATGGTTTATGTGTGTTGAAAAAAGAAATGCAAATTAAATTTCTAGAGGCCAATAAGAGTCTCCATAGAGCAAGTGAAACTCAAGTAGTCAACACTCAACAGAAGGAATATTTAATTGTTATTATTAAAGCCCTAGCACCCTTGGCTTTGCAATATCCATTACTTAATCACCAACGTTGATATGAAAATATCAAAAAGAACTAAAGATTTTTTTTATTTTTTTTATTTTTTTTATTTTTTTTTTCAAATAACAAACCTCTGGTGCCATCCATCTATACGTTCCAGTTTCTGCTGTCATTACTCCCCCCTGATTTAGGAACCGAGCAACTCCAAAATCTGCTACTTTAACAACCTAATCCAGAAAAAAAAAAGTAATTAAAAAATTAAATGGTATAGAATTTTATAAAAATACATACATATGCAAGAAATATTTCCTCCAAAACAAAATAAATGTTATTGTCAATCAGAATAAGAAAATTTTGAAAATTCTGCAGAAGCAGTTCATACAAATTACGAGCAAGTCATTATCCATAGATATATTATGATATGAAACAGGATTCACTGTTTCTGAAAGTTCAATTTGCTCCAAATTTCATATCACCTTGTCAACTAATACTATTTATCATGTACTTTGGGTGAATCATAATGTCAATTAAACATATGTACTACAATTATTATGAAATCTGTCATAATTCATCAATAAATTGTTCAGAAAAACCTGTGGATAATTTATCTCACAATTATAGAATAAAAGGAATTAAATTAATTTATTGGGTTACAAATACAGACACCCAGATAATTGCATAGATCTGGTTCGTTAACGATGCTTGCTTACAAGAAAACGCCCATTTTAGTAAAGGGTAATGCTGTATAGTGTAGAAAATTAATAGTTTCAAACTCTCAATGAATTCTTACATTGTGTGTATCCATCAGCAAATTGGCCGTCTTCAGATCCCTGTGAATTATGTTGTTTCTATGCAAATACTCCATACCCTTGCAGACATCAATTGCAAACTTTAGTAATTGAGACAGCTCCAACACATTATGATTTTTGTGCAAATAATCATACAGACTTCCTCCAGGCATATACTCTGCAAGAACAGAAATTTTAAAATATACTGACAGATTAAATTGAAACGAATAGACAAATTATACAATAAAAAAAAGAGGTACAGTTTTCAAAGTAATCAGTTATGTTCCTGAGCTTATATCAGTTTAACTATACAAAGCCAAATTAAAGTGTATGCCTTCAAACAATTTTAACTAAACATTCTTCCAAATACTTAAGAGAGCGAGCCTTTTAGTAAGTAATAAGGTAGCTCCCCCCCCCCCCCCCTCTTCTCACAAAGTTATGGGACTAACTTCTTGAATCCTGTCGTGAACATAGAGGCCCTCCGAAAATTTTTATTGGCAATTGTTATTCTATTAAAAGGGGCCAAGAGGAGTATGGATGTAAGAATAGTGTTTAGTTTTAAGTAAAACATCTCCAAATAAGGAATGACTATTAATTCCATATAAAATTGGATAACGTACAACTATATATCTGCGGAACTAAATGGATAGATCTATACCTGTTACTATACACAAATGTGGACACTTTGTACATGCACCAATGAAACGAACAACATTTTTATGATGGACCTGCCTGCATTCAGAAATACAAAAGTGAAAAATATTTTAAGGGAAGAGAGAGGCAGATGGACAGAACCTAAATGAGAAAGTGAGCGATGTATTTGATCTCTAAACTTATATCCTAAAGATGTATATGATAGATAATATAAACAAAAGCAATGACAAACATAGTTGTCAGAGTCAAATCGTATGATTCAATACGATTCGGCAAACCAAAGATTTGCATGATGTCATGAATTGGAGATGGCTTTGAATCATGTGATACATGCATGAATCAGTGTGATTTCGTATCACCCATATGAATCACACGATTTAACAATTCGTTAATTTTTTATTTTTTGCTTTTCTTTCATCAAGTCTCATACAAGAAATTGAAATCTAAATAAGCTTAAATTGTTAAATAAAAAGGAACTAAAAGAGTGCTACTGCATGCACCCTATTTGATTATTCCATTACCTTGTTTTCATGCTTATGAAACATGAGCTTCACATAGTTACTCACATATGCACCCTATTTGGCTATTCCATTATTGTGTTCATTCTTCTGAAATAGAAACTTCACACAATCACTTGCTCACCTTATGCACCTTATTTGGTTATATCGTTGCTCTATTTTTGTACTACAAAAACATAGGCTTCATGCAATCACTTCATGTGACTAGATCATGAGACATGATTTATTATTTTGTTTAGTGAAACTTATGGTAAAGTTATTTCGTCAATTCTTATTTTAGAATTATTATCTGAGTATTATACATCATTTATATGATAATATCAAGCTATTTTTTTATTATATCTCTGCATTTTACCATTTAGTATGCCTTAATATTAGAGAAATATAATATAAAATCATTAATGTGGCATTCACCTAATGACTTAAACTTTTGAGTTGAATTGGTTGTTTTCATAGTAGTTAAAAGCGGATTGCGGCCTGTTGTGCCCAACCCTGAAAAACGCTATAGCGCTATAGCGGGTAGCGGTTGCGAAAATAACGAAAATCGCGGAATAGATTAATAGAACCTAGATACACCACACATATATATGCTAAAAAATAAAAACAATCAATAGTAACAAAATAATTATACAATAGTAACAGTTATTAGTTTATTTTTATGTGATAGTAACAAAATAATTATACAAGATAGTAAAAAAATTATAACTATAACCTCCTTTTTTTAATTTATAATTTTTTTTTTCAAAATAGATTATTTTGTATTTGAATACAAACTTTAAAATTATTTGAAATAAAAATTATGTATTTTTTTTACTTATTTTACAAACAAAAAATTATTAACTTTTAAACATTATTAAGTGTGTTTAATAATTCACAGTTTGTAAAATAAAAAAAGTACAAAATTTTTATTTAAATAAATTGAAAATAGTGGGTAAACATATTTTTGTTTCCTTTTCAAAATTAATCTAATCAGAGGTGTCTAGCAAATAAACATGGGTTTGTTGTGTGTTTCAATATATGTATGAATGAGCCTAACATATGATCACAGCAGCATTAACCTATTCTGAGAGTCAGAAAAAAAAGGAGGATAGAAAAATAAGAGAAGAATTCAGGAAAAAAAAAAAAACCAAAAAAAAAAGGAGGGTAGAAAAAAAGAGTAAGAGAAAACAAAAATAGGAGGGTAAAAAAAATAAGAGAAAAAAAAATAAGAGGTTAGAAAAAAGAATAAGAGAAAATAAAATTAGAATGTTACTTACTAGAGCTGCCAAGTGCCAACGAATAAAAGGACAAAAAGAGAAGCAGGTCCGTTGTGGAATAGAAAAGAAAAATATAAAAAAAAGTGGATCTGTTGCTTTTTGTAATCGGTGAAGTGGGTATGTTGCTTTTTGCAATCGGTGGAGTGTGTCAGTATATATAAAAAGCAGAGGGTTCAAAAAAGATGAAAAGAATGGCCCATTACCCTTTTAATAATAAAAAATTAAATGTCAAAAATATCTACTTTTTTAACGCAAAACAGTGTTTCTTCTCTCTATTTACTTTCCATCCGCGATTTTGAGCGAGACAGACGCGATCTCCGCCATTTTTCTCCGCAATATCGGCCGCTTCAGACGCGACCTCTTTCCATGGCGGTGCGGCGCGGATTCTCGTGGTGGTCCTCCGCATTCCGCGAACGGCGCGGGTAGCGCCGCTTTTTGACTTCTATGGTTGTTTTACATGGTATTGGAGCCTATGTGACCAAGTGGTCATGAGTTCGACGCCCAGGCAAGTGGACATGTGCATTGTTCATCCTTTAAGCATTGGCTTTATGTGAGGGGACATAGTAGAGAAACATAATATAAAACCATTAATGTGGCCTTCACCTATCAATTTAAGCTTTTGAGTTAAATTAGTTGCCATACACTTAAGATTTATGGTTCAAAAATTAGCTGTGTTTGAGGGTTTGAATTGCAATTTGATAACCTTGATGACAATAAAAAACTAAGTAGCAGATGGAGCAATCCCAACATAGAAAACATCAATTGAGAAACTAAAAAGTCTCTAGTAGACTGGTATCCAATCCTTGAAGTGTTAACCAATTGAAAAGTTATAAGGATGCAGCCAACTAAGCATTTTGTTAGCATGATCTACGCACTTGCCTATTCTTCTTTCCTTTTGGAAAAAATTAAGACTGATTGTAGCATAACACACCACTTCTTAAGACTTGCTACTTGAGTTTATATTTTAATGATAATTATGAGTTTAAAATAAATAAAATCTACTTACAATACGAACAAATGTTTGATAACCTTTCAGGAAGAGAACTCATAAGAAACTCTAAGCAGAAAAACATAATATGCACTATGCAGTATGGTCTTAAACTATGAGCAGAAAAATACTGACCTCAGAATTGCTACTTCTTGAGCAAACTCATCCTCTAAGGCATCATTCAGTTGCTCAGATCTCAGAACCTTAACAGCAACATCTTCACCAATATAAACTCCACGATATCTGAGTATGAATCATAAAGCCAATTAGAAGCAAGAAAGATGAATGTTATGATATAGAGAGGAATAGAAAGAATACAACCAAGGAAAAGAAGTAAAAAAAGGAAAAAAAACAAAAATAAATAAATAATTAGTGGTAAATCAACCCAACTCACAAATCTCCACAGGATCCAGATGCTATTCTTTCTCCTATCTTTAACAACCTCCTGTCTATTTCCCAATCTCCAGATTTTCCTTCTGCTGCTAAGGCTTTCTCCACAGCTGAATGAGAATTTGAAGAACGAGACCATGACCCCTAGAGAAAGGAAGAAAATTCAAATCCACATGATCATTGGAAACCACCAAAACTCCTCAGCAGAGTGAAACCACTCGCTTGCATAACCTCTACTGTGGAAATTTCATGCTTTTGTTCAACTATGTATTGATTGTGATTTGAATGAAATTTAACATCAGATTTCTTTCTTTTCTTTTCTTTTTTAATTATGCTTATTGTAATTTTTTTTTAAACCAACATCACGAGTTATGGTTGTTTCATGAGATCATATGAAATATACATTACATTTACCATTAATAAAGTGGATTTCTGATCAACAAAGCGGGTTTGTTACACCCTAATGATGAGTGGGTTCCTAACACATACTCATAGTTGGCCTCACAAGGTTTGTTACACATGATGTTTGTATTAAGTATTTTTGGAGATTGGACAAGCGGTCATTAATTTTTACACAGTGCGGTTGCTTGGCAGCTTTGGAATAGACATATTGGCATTTTGCGTAAGTAGTGGGTTTGTCAAGCTTTTTTTTTTTTACCATTTTTTAAATTATCCACCTTATAGGCTTTGGTGGCATGAAGGAGTGTAAGATATTTTGGCAATGGTGCTGGTTAAGCAGGTTTCTGGTGTACATAGTGGAAATTAGATGTTAGGGTTTTAATCAGATATTTCTTCCTTCCTTCATACCTTCCATGCAATAGAGTACTCATTTTGGCATCCCTGTGGGTTTCAGTGCATGATTTTTTTCAAGGAGTGGTTGGTGGGGGAGACTCTCTTAAATATACAATGGAATTGATATGGTTGGACAGTCACATGATAGAAGGAAAATAGACATCGATAGAACAAATTCAAAGAAACAACTAAACAGAAGCATTTTACTATGAAAACAGAAGTACAATGTATCAGTAATTACAATAACAGTAATGAAAGGTAATTACAGTAAAGGAAATAGACAATAACAGTGACAACTCTAGAGCATTCGAGAGGCCCTAGTCTCTCCCAAGTTCCAGCCTAATTCCAAGATCCCAGATGATCCCTCAAGCATCCAATGCCTTCCCTTTTTATTCCACTAACTTTCCCGCCTCTTCCTCCTTAACCGTTTTCTGTTGCACATCCCCTCCAGATCCTTCCCCTCCTAACAAACTCTCAGCTATCTGATGCAACAACTAGACCTGCTTGGGCTTGGGCCCTATTTCAGCTATATGGGTCCGTATCAGAAACCAACAGTTTGAGAGTATACTCTCAGGAATGTTCCAAATCAGATAATTTTTCAAGGAGTGGTTGGCACGAGGGATTCTCTAGTAAATATACAGATGGAATTGATACGGCTGGACAGTCACGTGATAGAAGGAAACCAAGAGTTTGGAGAGTATACCTATCATAGGAATGTTCCAAATCAGATATTTTTTCAAGGAGTGGTTGGCAGGAGATATCCCTGACCATATAGATATCCTTACCTACAGAAGGAGATAGAAAAGATGGTGCCAGAAATATTCGTGAAGAAGATAGTGCGCTTGCGTGGTATATCCTTGACCAATTTGAGTGACCAAGATAAGACCTTAATTAGTAATGCTAACTAAGGGTATAAACCCTAAACCTAACCAATTTGAGTGACCATAGAATTATGATTTCTTACCTTGGGCTGAGTATTGGTACAATGCTAACTTCCATTTAGCTGCACAATGTACCCTTTTGAGGTGGTATATGGGAGACCCCTTCCTGCCCTCACAAAATTCATTATGTAAACTTTAGTAGAAGCCTTAGCACAAGATCTTATGGATTGTGATGAAGCTCTGAGACAACTTAAGTTTCATTTACACAGGGCCCAATCACACATGGCTTGCAAGGCCAACAAGCATTGCAGATAGTCAGACATATAGGTAGGAAACTAGGTTTATCTTAAGATTAGACCCCATAGACAGAGTACTATGCCATCTAGGTTACACCCGAAGTTAGCAGCAAGGCTTTATGGGCCTTATCTTGTGCTTAAGCAAATTGGAGTTATTGCATTTTTATTAAAGTAATGAAAAGGGGCTTGCATTCACCCCACCGTTCATGTTTCATAGATAAAAAAGACAGTAGGTGAACATTTCGTGGAGGAAGAATTGCCAGCTGATATTCAATTTGATGGATTTAAATTTACTCCAGTTCAGGAGTTGGGATTCAGGACTGTCCAACAACAACAAGGGGAAAGATGTTGATCAGATCTTCATTCAGTGGAGGGATCAACCTCATGAAGTGGCTTCATGGGAAGATGACAAGATGATTCATGGTCAATTCCCTGATTTTAAACCTTGGGGATAAGGTTGATTTTCAATGGGAAGGTATTGATATGGCTGGAGTGTAAGAAGCAAACCGACAATTTGGAGAGTATACTCTTGTAGGTATATTCCAAATCAGATAGTTAGTTAGTGGATTTTATCATGGTTGTTAAGATCGCGTGTAAAAACACAGTATCGGTCGATCTTACGTTTTTTGTAGTTGCTGCGATCCAGATCGTGAGTAGTATTGTTTTCTTCTTCAGTTGCGTGAGATCATCATGCAAGAACGTGGAATCGGTGGGATCGTATGATCCCACCGTTTTTGCGATTCAACTCAAATAGCCCCAAATGTCGACAAGAACAAAAGGACAGCCAGTTACAAGTTACAACAATGGTGGGTTTCATCTCATGGTAAAATACCTTGGACTGACAAAGGAAAAGACAAAAGGCCAGATCTGGGCAACCATTTCAGCCGGTGTAGATATGAACTTGAACGACCAAGATAAGTATGGCATAGAGAGCGAAGAAGATATGTGTGTAAATGAATATAGCTTTTTCGTTGGTCTTCTCTTCGTGCCACCTAACTCTAACTGCTTACCATTTCCCAGAAAGGAAAACAGCAACCCCGGTTGGAGCAACATGATCAACACCACGCCGATTAACAGTAGTTCCCAATCTGCCATTCTCTTTCTTTTCTTTTTTTTTTGCCCAATCCCAGAAAAAAAATGATAGATCTTTCTTACCCAGAAAAAAAAATGGTGACTTTCGATGGTGAAAATGGTAAAGGTTGTAGCTTTGGTATTTTGGGGGATAGAAAAGAAGAAAACAAAAGGACTGGTATTTGTCGTGGTTATGCTTCTCTGCACCCGAAACTAGAAAATGAATTAATTAACTTTTATTTAACTTATAAATGTCAATTTGCTTTTACGCCTTGATTTTAATTATGTAATTTTTTTTTTTGTAATCACTAATTTTTTTAATATTATATTATATCAATAGTTACGATCTTACGATTCGTATCAATCTCACGATTTACAATTTTTTTATTCCCTCCCGATCTTAGGTAAAATCTCATTCTTAACAACATTGGATTTTATGATTGTTTGTCAAACTAAGGGGAAATTGAGTTGGCTTTCGTGAATGGGGGGGAGGATTATTATTTTGTAATAGAGGCTAAGGAATACCCTCAGAGAGAGGCTGAGAGAGTTTTTCAGTTAGGGACCCTGTCCTTGGCAAGAACGCCTTCTTGTATTCCATTTCTCTCATTAATAAAGATAGCCATTTCTTTTCTCACTACCCAAGCTGTTGGAACATTCATCAGGGTTGACTGGAGAGTATGTGGTCTATATCTTTTCAGTCGCTTTCTCTTACTAAACAGTTGTTTTACCTAAATTTGTTATCAGTGGTCTATTCCTTCATATCCAGTTTTGGAATCCAAACATTTTTCCTTCCTAAAGCCCATACGCATGAGCCATGTTTTAGGAAACTTTAGACTTTAGAGTTATTACTTATTTTTCTTAAATATATTCCATGAAAAACAAGCCAATGAATATAAAAAATCATTCGTTTATTCATTCTTCAGAGAGGTATAATTCCAAAATCTCAAACAAAACCAACATATGAATTTGCAGATACAAAGTCAAGGAAACACAATGCACCTCACTTCTTGCTACAGCTTTTTCCATAGCATCATACAAATCATCTGTTTCCTGAGCACAAGATTGCAAAGTCAGGGACATTTGGAGTCAGCACAGATCCCTGTCATAAGAGAAATATAATAACAATGCTCCTTAATTAACCTACAAGATCAACTCCTGGTATAGACCAATTCATTTTTTTTTCTAAATTAAAAAGTCTGAAGAAAATATTATTTATAAATAATCATGATGCAGATGCCACATTTATAAATAATTGTGTTCATCTGCCATCAAAGCTCAAGATAACATAGTAGAATTGAACCACCAAGTACAAAATTGTATATTCAATTATCAAGTGTATGCAACAACACAAATGCCATTGTAAAATTAGCATTAATGAACAATAACAGGTTTGAAGATACAACTTTACCGAGGTCTGCAGGGGAAAGAAAATAGTATCAAATTCATCATAAGTAGCAGTGTACCTCTACTGGCCATCCATCCACCACAAACACATCAAGGGAGTAGCCATCAGTTGTGGAGAAAACATGTGCTTCACGGATGTTAAGCCCAATTTCAGACAGCAAAGCAGACAACTAAAAGAAAATAATATCCATCAAAAGAAATCATGCTACCCATCAATTATATTTTAAGGCATTAACAAACTAAAACCTCATACTTGAATATGTCAACAGAATGAAGCTACGTTTAACAAAGTAAAGCCCCAATTTCCACCCTCAAGCTCTTATGTAAAATCCACTCTAGTTATTTACTTTACACACTCAAGCTCTTTTCTACCCAATGTTTTCTGATTGTGTAAGGCTAAATTCTGTGATACCCTTCTGTGATGCCATTCTCTCTCATATTTACATGATACAGCCCCTAACAGAATCCCACTCATTCGAATCTAGCAGATTCCATCACCTCTTTCTTCTAACAGATTAGTTATGCCACTTTTAATTCCCTATGGCCACTTCTACAATACACCATTGCCACGGTTCTATCACTTTCACATTGCTTCAATTGGCTTCTGATGGGAGAACTGCAATACATGAACCCAATTTAAATGGGCCAGCAACAGTAAGCAAGCTAGAACAGAATGGGTTCAAGTCTAAACCAAACAAACAACTTCAAGTGTATATGAGGAAGCATGTGAGGAATACTAATCCAGGTCAGCCAAGCCAGAAAGGATAAATATAATATTAGTTATTTGGGGATAAGTTAGTGGAGGTTAGTTAGATGAGAGAGAAGAATAGAATCAAAAGAGATATGGTGTATAAATGATTAGGGAGTCATTTAGTACGGGGCATGAAAAATGTTTGTTGATTTCTGCTTAGCAAAATAGGGGCGTGGACAATCTTTCTCCAGAGGTGGGAGCATTTGCTCTTACTTTTTCCTCGTTATTCTCCTTCTGTAATTTCCTTTTTCAATCAATATACAAGAACTTTTCTTTGGTAGGAAAATTATCCTTTCAAATTAGTGCTTTCATTGAGAGCTTTGGCTGATTTGTAAGGGAGAACGGTGCATGCTTACGAGGATGACTTCCCAAAAAGTAGACATGCTTTGGTCTTCTTTGATGATATTTTAGTGTATAGCCACTCTTGGGAGAAACATCTCAGCCTTCTCAGAGAATTGCTGGAATTATTGCCTCACCATCACTTGTTTGCTAACTATAAAAAGTGTCTTTTTGGCCAGCTTTCTGTTGATTACCTTGGCCACATTATTTCCTATAAAGGAGTATCATTGGATCCTTCCAAGGTCCCAACTGTGTTGGAATGGCTCGTACCTAAGAATGTCGAGGGAGTTCGAGGCTTTTTCGGTTTGCAGGTTATTGTAGGCGATTTATCAAGGACTATGGCAAGATTGCTCATCCTCTCACTGAACTTACTAAATGGGAAGGTTTGTTTGGAACAAAGAGGCTCAACAGGCATTTGATGAGTTGAAAAAGTCGCTTACAACCTCTCATGTCCTAACATTACCAGACTTTACAAGAGATTTTGTTATTGAATGTGATGCCTTCGGTAATGGTCTGGGTGCTGTCATTATGCAAGAGTAGAAGCCTATTGCATACTTTGGCAAGGCCTTAGCTCCCTCTAACTTAGCAAAGTCTGTCTATGAGAAAGAAGTTATGGCTCTAGTCTTGGCTGTTCAGCATTGGCGTCCCTATTTGCTTGGGATATCTTTTAAAATTTTCACAGATCATAAGAGCTTAAAACACATGTAAGAGAAAATGATCACCACAACCAACTAACATCCTTGGTTATCTAAATTGATGGGGTACCATTTTGAAGTAATTTACAAACCGGGTCCAAAAAGTAAAGCTGCCGATGCACTCTCACGAATGGAGGATCTGGCAGAGTTGCATCATATTGTGTCTGGTTCTTATGGGTGGACTTAGATGTGGTCAAATCTGAAATTAAAGCTGATACTTTTTTGTCACAGCTTATTGCAGATTTACAACGGGATCCAGCAGCTAAATCTAGTTTTACTATACATGGGGACTTGCTCTTTTATAAGAACAGGCTAGTATTGATACGAACCTTGGGAGAACCTCACCCCAAAAGCTAGCTTGTAAGGTAGGAGAGACCAAAGTTCATATAAACCCCACACCAGATCCTTAAGTTTCCGATGTGGGACTCAAGTCTCATACTTGCAATTGGATCGTAACATTCTACCACGCTCCGCAGCATCGGGGCCCACGTGGTCTGACTTTGCCCTAGTCTTTTACTAGCCTTGGGCGAACACTGCAATGTCAGGGTCACCAGCCGCACCACTTGATTACAACTGAGAGACATAATGGAAGGATCTGATACCAATTGATATGAACCTTAGGAAAACCTTATCCTAACAACTAGCTCATAAAGTAGGAGAGCCCAAAGACCATATAAATCCCACACCAGAATCATATGTTTCCGCTGTAGGTTTCCAAGTCTAATACCTTTCAATTGGATCATAACATCAATTGATACGAACCATGGCAAAACCTCATCCTAAAAGCTAGCTCGTAAGGTAGGAAAGCCCAAAGTCCATATAAACCCCACACCAGAACCTTATGTTTCTGATGTGGGACTCCAAGTCCCATAACTTGCAATAGGATCATAACATCCCACCACGCTCCGAAGCCCCGGCGCCCACGCGGCCTGGCTTTGCACTAGTCTTTTACTAGCCCAAGGAGAACATTGCAATGCCAACGTCACCAGTTGCGCCCCTCGATTGCAACTGGGTAACATAGTGGAAGGATCTGATACCAATTGATACAAACCTTGGGAGAACCTCACCACCAAAAGCTAGCTCGTAAGGTAGGAGAGACCAAAATCCATATAAACCCCACACCAAATCCTTATGTTTCCAATGTAGGACTCAAGTCTCATGCCTTGCAATAAAATCGTAACATTCCACCACACTCTGCAGCCCTGGCACCCACGCAGTCTGGCTTTACGCTAGTCTTTTACTAGCCCTGGGTGAACATACAATGCCAACGTCACCAGCCACGCCACTCTATTGCATTTGAGACATAGTGGAAGGTTTTGATACCAATTGATACGAATCTTAGAAGAACCTCACCCTAGCCCTAGATAGGAATATTGGGGTTTTGATCTTGAAAGAGGGTAGGATAACAATTTATATGCATGCTAAGAATAGATGTATATTTAATTGCAGATGCTTAAATTATTGGGTTCATTGCTTAATGCCATTAGGAACATTGCAAGGAATTGGGGTTCCAATTGGGGTTAAAGGGTTAATCTTGCAAGGAATTGAGAGTTAACTACTGAATATTTTAGATAATAATTTATCTGAGTAATTATATAAATGAATATTGTAAATCAATCCAGAGTAAGAAGCGGGAATCATTTGGTGAGTGCACTCTAGCTACAATGCCTTCTCATATTTTTACAAAATCAATCTCTGTTTTATTTCTCATAACAAAAAGCCAAAAATAAGCCTTTACTTTTAGTTCTTATTTTTACCCAAATCAACAATTCTCACAAACCTATTTGAATTCCTCCCATCTTAAAAGGACAATTATTTGATATTCGATCCCAATCCCTGTGGAGACGATACTTTTCTTATCACTGTATTACTTGTGGGATCGGTATACTTGCCGGTGAGCATCAGTAGCCTATAAGCTGCAACTTCCAGACATTACAAGAGTGCATCCTCTTTTCCATGTGTCTCAGTTAAAAAGAGCTATCGGATCTGCTCAAGTTAAGTGTTATTTTCTTCCTAATTATTTTCTTCCTAATTTGGCAATGGATGATATGGATCCTATTCAACCTGAAGCTGTACTTGCAACCAGGGTTGTTCACTTTCAAGGGCAGCCTATTACTGAGACGTTGGTCCTTTGGAAATCTAAGCCTGTAGAAGAAGCGACATGGATCGAGGAGGATGTCCTCAAGGGCCAACTCCCTGATTTTTGCCTCGAAGAGGGTATTGATGAGAGAATTGCTATAGATGAGCCCAATTTAAATGGGCCCAGCAACAGTAAGCAAGCCAGAACAGAATGGGTCCAAGTCTAAACCAAACAAACCACTTCAAGTGTATATGAGGAAGCATGTGAGGAATACTAATCCAATTCAGCCAAGCCAAAAAGGACAAATATATTATTAGTTATTTGGGGATGAGTTAATGGAGGTTAGTTAGATGAGAGAAGAATAGAATCAAAAGAGATATGGCGTATAAATGATTAGGGAATCATTTAGTAGGGGGCATGAAAAATGTTTGTTGATTTCTGCTTAGCAGAATAGGGGTGTGGAGAATCTTTCTCCAGAGCTGGGAGCATTTGCTCTAACTTTTTCCTTGTTATTCTCCTCTTGTCATGTTAGCGAAATATAAAAACCATTAATATATTCTCACCCAAAAGGCTTAAGTTTTTGGGTTGAATTGGTTCTTTACATGGTATCAGAACCTCGGTATCACGGGTTCAATTCTCACCACCCCGGTTTAATTAATAAATAATTAAGTATTGTGGAGTTTTTAACACAGGTAGGTGGGCCTGTGCATTATCCACTCTTCAAGCCCAATGGGCTCTCGTGTGAGTGGGCATGTTAGAGAAATATAAAAACTATTAATGTAGCCTCACCCAACAACCTAAGCTTTTGGGTTGAATTGGTGGTTGAATTGGTTCTTTACATGTAATTTCCTTTTTCAATCAATATACAAGCACTGTTCTTTGGTAGGAAAAATTATCCTATCAGCTTCACTTTATCTTTGCTTTATATGACAATATAGCCTATAACTTCTTCATGAATCTCTAGTTATCAAATACCTTTAATTTTGAGGAAAGTTTTATTTCATTTCATAAATCAGTTAAGTTGATAAAACTATGGAAAATAAAACATATACAATTTATACAAAGTAGATTGAAAAGTTTTAGCTCATTTTATTTCGGAGTTTCAATTAATTTAGAAAAGATATAAAATTTAATAATAAACAGAAAAGAAAAGCTTTTCAAACATACCTGGCTTAAAAGCTTTGGCTTGTCAACAGTGGAAAATATTATTTCATGAACTGGGACACTTGAAAGTTCATGCCTACAATTTAATTCTAATGTTTAACTTATTTGCCACAAGCAAAAAAAATCTATTTATGCAGGTAACATTTGGAGCACAAGTAATATTTTATTTTGCAGTATAGTGAGATACTCATTGATAAAGACTCAAGATTAAAAGGTCCAATTCCTCCAACAACATGAAAGAAGGTTAAACTCTACAAGTCATAATGGATATATCCCTGAAAGCTGTAAGTCACATATAAATAACACATACATAGGTACACTATAAATGAAAAAATTAAGAAGAATTAAAAAATAAACAAGTTCAATAATACAAAACAAATGTTACAACCTGAAGGGCTTTCTCTATAATGCACACGATGCTTCTGTTGGGGCCTCTTGTCTACTTTACTTTATATGAATCTGGAAACAGACTGATACAAGAGGAAAAAACAGCTTCCTTCTTTCATTTGCTCCCTCCCTCCCCCCAAAATAAGATTAATTTCTCCCTTTAAGAGTTAGATATGCATGGAAATGAGAAAAGGCCACATAATTTTGAAACTGTTTTTGCTACAACTGCTATCAACATGAATGCATCCATCAGGATTATCTTATTCAACTTGTAATTTTCAATAGTAATAGATTTTGAATTATCAGAAAGTTACAGTTCTATCACACAGACACAAATTTGGCAACAGGTACAGAGATACTTTCCTGCTCTCCTAAGAGGACAAAATTTTGCAACCATAGCCAGTTTTGATGGATGTAGCAATATTGGTATTTCAAAAATTAAAAAGAAAAAGTAGGAATCAGCATTATAATTTTATTCATATGGTACCTCTGGGAAAAGTTGTCAGTAAGAAATTTTTCCTCTGTCTCCTTGGAGTTCTTTCTAACATCCAAATTTAGGTCCTCAAGCTTCGAGCAGGGCTCAAACTCAGTTGCAAGATCCCTCATTGTACTGATAGAAATGATATAAAATCATAAATTATGAAGAGACAGAATTGAAATTTCAAGCAACAGTTACAGGAGAACTTCCTGTAAATGCATGAGCATATTTATATTATACTTCACCGGATAGCATACCTCTTATGAGATGATACAGCTCCCCCATTTGTTGCATGTGAAGTTGACCCTAGGACAGAATGAGTATTTACAATTTGTTGATCTTCACCATCTGTTCTAGTAGAAATATTCTGCCCAGCAAATTGAGAGAAGAAGAAATTTGGTATAGACATGAAAAACTGACAGAGATATATGATAGACTTATTGCATGAATATAAAATCAGGCAAGTGAGAAGAGAACTGCTATCAAAATTGAAAGCATAATTTGTTTAAGAAAAGAAAAGATCAAGAATGGATGTATTAGAGAGAAACTTGGAGTAGCACCTATAGAGAAAAAGATGACAGAATTTCACCCAAGATGGTTGGCTATGAGGAGAAAACCAATAGAGGCCACACTAAGAAGATTTTATTAGGTGGAGGATAGCCTACTAAACAGATGTACAGGAAGACAAAGGAAAGGAAAACAACAGATAGCTTTCTGTTGTTGTTGTTGTTGTAATTTGTTTAAGATATAGTAAGATTGACACTTGCATGCCAAAGCACAAGTGTAATGACATGCAAAATAAAAAACAAGGCCTTCCAGGAAAGCAGATAACAAAAAGGTTTAATTGGAAGACATTGCAGAATTTCAAAATTAAAGCTTTTATATTAACGAATTTCAAATCTAAGTTCAAATTACAAAGTTATATACACAGACTAATTGAAAGCAGAAGCATTGCGCCTCCACCGAATGCTGATGCTGATGCAATAGCCACATGATGTAACCTTATTTTGGTAATAGTAGGAATATACCAAATAAAATTTACCGACATACGCACACTTGAATGTTCAACTAAATATACATATGTACAAATTAGGAAAGAGCAGGAAGTGAGACTCTTGCAAAGAATTCTTCTAACAAAGAAACAAAGACATTCAAACAAGTAATCTAATTTAGTTTACCTTTTGGATAGGCATCTAATATTCAGTATATATATATACATATATATATATATATGGGACAGGATCACTTGACACCAAATTTTAACTGTTAAATTCCGTCAATCTAATGTTATAATTTATTGGGAATTAATAATTAATTAATAAATATGACCTAATAAATTATAATCGTTAGATTCACGAAAATCACGGTTAAAATTTGATGTCAAAGGATCTCTCCCTATATATACCCAATAAATTATAACCATTAGATTCATGAAAATCAACGGTTAAAATTTGAAATCAAACTTTTTAGTTTGACACATGATCATGCCCCATATATATATATATTAAAAAAATCTAAAATTTTAAAATCAACAAAGGATCTGATACCTATTCAAAAGAATAAGACAATATTATTTACTAACAGAAATATGGAAACGTGAAAATTGTTTGAAGAAAGATTCAATAAAATCAATCATCAATGATTCTATATTACTTCAAGATAGCAGCAATATAAATGGATTATAGGGCAGAAGAAAGGGGATAAAAGGCCTTATCGTGATGCGCTACTCATATTGAATTTCCTAAGTTTCCCAGCAGCATTTTTAAAAACAAACTTCTAGACAGAAAATCTAATGTTTCGAATCAAATTACCTCCAAGAAGCGTATATGATAGACGGGGCGCTTGTCTGGGTCTCTTGCCAAAGCAAGAAGGGTCTGATGCAATAGAACATCTTCAGCTCTATCGATATTAACATCAAGTCCATAACTGAAACAACAGCAACAAATTGCTTAACAAGCGCACCACATATTCCACACTTTCTTTAATGACTTCATTTGCTTACACCTCATAATACTGACCAAACAAAGAAACATACGAGTGCATCCAAATATAATAATCCAAAAATAATAACAAAAAAATAAATAAATTGACAACACTGTGGAGCAGCGATGAAATTGATGAACCTTGGAGGCAAGCGATTGAAGTGAGCTTCCAGCTGTTCGCGAAACTCGGGATTCGACACGGCTTGGTCGTGGCCGGTTTCCATCAAGCGATTGTACACGTCGTTCCTCACATCGTAGTTGCTGTAACCGCTGAAGGTGCGCGGAGGCGATGAGCTCTCTCCCACGCCTTCAACGAAATCCATTGCCGCACGGTTCTTTTTCTTTCTTTCCTTCTTTCTTGCTTTCTTTGTTCAAGGTCGCATGGCCGGAAAAGAGAGTGGAAAAAAATCGGAAAAGAAAGTGCAAGAAAATAAGCTTAATTTCTGAGAAAATCTTGGCGTGCAGAGAGAATGAGTAAGGATCTTTGACTGTGGTGTGGTTAGAATCTGAGTGGGAAAGAAATTGAAGGGTTTCGTGATTTCAATGGAAAAGGGAGGGCAATTTCGTCCGCCGGGACTGCCTCTGCGACGCAGCAGCAGAATTTTAGGAAAAGAGTGAAGCGAAGAGAGAGAAAGACAAGGTAGTTATAACTTAGAAACGTGAATAATCTTATGTTACTAATACTAGCTCACGAAATATCGGAGGAAAAAAAACACAAAAATAAATATAATGGTTTTTATTATAGAATTATTATTTCTCATTGTAATAATAAATAATGTTATCGGGACTTATAATTTCCCTTCCCACAGAGCTCATACACTTATATACATAATTAAATCATTTCTGTAGTCACTTTACGTACAGCGATGACAGGTATATGGTTCCCCACATTTAATTCTTTCATCTTTGTTATAATTCTCTGCATTTAATAATTTCAAATATATATGACAAATATTTGATTGTTGCACGTACAGCAGCTGCAGAAATATAAACTTCATACATATATATATATATATATATATATATATATATATTTCTTGTAATATGATAAACATTAACTTCTATTATTGTTTATATAGAATTTGTTAAGTTTATTTTTATTTTATTTTTTATGAAAACATGATAGCATCATGTTGACTATTAACGCGAGTATTCAAATATGTTATGTAGTTCGACTCAGACTGCAGACTTTGGGTTGAAAGTGCTTTCAAAAAGAAAAATTATATTAATTATTATTAGGAAAAAAAGTATATAATATTATTTTAGATAATTTATCTAATATTTATTGAAACGACATCATTTGGAGTTAAAAAATTAGAATAATAAACACTATTATAACTCTGAAATAAATTAAAATTATAAATACATCATGATTTTTGCCTCAAAACTACATCATTTCGGCGAACATTAGATAAAGTTGTCTAAATTAACTTTAGAAAAACCAAACTCTTATTATTAATACAAATATATTTATTTTTATTATTATAAATAAATAAATAAAATTTGTAAAAAATACTTTAACCAGATAATGAAATTTTGAGGGAAAAATAAATTAAATGCCCTTGTTGTGTTGCCTTAAAAAATATTTTAGGGGAAATTAATTCACCTGCACAGATATAAATTATCTCATATTGCAGACTCAATTTTTGAAGTGGGTCCCACCACTTGAATTTTTTTTTGAAGTGGGTCTCACCACTTAAAAAAGAAGAAGATGCTCCCACGATTTCCCATTAATGTGTAGGAGAAATTTCTTTCTCTAGTAACATGGGAATCGATTCTCCTAATATTTTAAGGGTTTAGTGTTTTTTTGTATTGTAGGAGATAATTTTATGTCCTACACATACAAGTATGTATAACTCATGTTTTCTCTCTTTTCTTTTTATATGGCCTCACATGGGGCCAATACACTTTTGTATGTATTTAGGAAATAATTTTGTCTCCTACAATATGAAAAACATGAATCTCATTTTTTAATACAAAAACATTTTGAATATTGTTGTTTGCAATATAATTATAAGAATAATTGTATGAAACAAATAAAAAAAAATTTGAATAAGTCATGTATTTTTATTTTACTATTTTCAAAACAAATTATGAAGAACAAGTTCAAAAAACAATGAGATTCAAAAAAGGTGATTAAATAAATTTTGTTTTGTGTTTTAGTTTTTCATAACAGAAAATTGTTGCTGGGATAAAAAAAACAAATATGCCATTTTTTATTGGAATGGGTTATTCTACCTATTTTTTTCATGTCTATCACTCTTCAACGTCGTTAGATTAGAATCTCAGCTAACATTTATCACTTCCTTCTCCTCTTGAGATTTTGATCTAACGATGTTAGAGATTGATAGGCAAAAAAAAAAGATAAGTAGAATAACTTATCCCATTTTGATTTATTTTATTTTTTTTTGTAATAAATCCCGTTTTGATTTAGGTTCATATAGAAGTATATTTAAATAAGTATAATACTTTTTTATAATTTGTTTGTGTAGATTTATATTTTTGTTACTTGAGATGAGTTGTACTTGTCGCTACACTAATATAACTAAAAGAGCACTGACCTCTTTTTGCTATGTCTTTATTATGATTTTTGGTTTAATTTATTAATCCATTTTACAATATAGAAATATAAAAATATATATTTTATAAAAATATAGAAATATAAATATCTATTTAAATTATTTTATTTTTAAAAATAAGGTTTGAAAGATTGAGGAGGCTCTTGAAGGCAAAAGCGTCCCACTACTAATGTTTTGCAAAAGATTGTCTAGGTCAAAGCACATTTGAGAAGAAATGTCATAGTAAAGCAGTCAAACAAATTGGTCTGACATATGGGATCAGTGCCATCAGCATTCTTGGCGTGACACCCCTCCACGTCAGCCTGTTACATGCAGTCTCGTAAGGCATGTTGATTGGATCAATCCCGTTAGAGTAATTAACTCGACTAGTACCAACAAAACACATTACGGGACTAGTCTCGTCAGCCAGCATGATGAAACTAGTTGCGCTTTCACCCAGTGGCGGACCCAGGAAAAAAAATTTATGTCCGCACAATCAGTGGCGGGGTTCGGGGGCAGCGCCCCAGATTTTTTTTTTTATATAAAAGTTTAAATCAACGCTTGAACCCGCTCATAATCTAGTTGCTTCCATAACAAGCTGCAGACAATAGTTTGACCAATTATTTTCCCCCTAAATCTTATCAATCCTTCAAAACAAATATGAGAATATACTCCAGTACATCCATACATCATCATTCTATTTTGGGATATGTTATTTTACCTAACATTTTTCTGCCTACCTTTGCCTACCACTCTCCAATACCGTTAGATCAAAATCTCAAGAAGAGAGAAAAAGATAAATGTTAGTTAAGATTCTGATCTAACGGTGTTGGAGGGTGGTAGGTAGAGGTAGGCAAAAAAATGGTAAGTAGAATAATCTATCCCTTCTATTTTATAGTGGTGAATAAAAAAGTTAACACTACCTATACAGAAGTAAAACAAAATCACAGTGAAGGTCTCGTCTCTAGATATTAACTTATTTGAGAATGTCAGACCTACAATCAATCATCTCTTTTTATAAAAATAAAAAAGGAAACAAAGGATGAAGAGAACGTGGAAATGAGTACGTGACAAGGGAGGAAGAATAAGTTTTCTTTCTAATCAATGTGCGTTGTTGCGTTGTTTTAATCATCTTCGTACGTTGTTACGTTGCTAACTAATATAAGAATAAATATCCTTTTTGGTCCCTAAAAAAAATTTGGTCCTCACTTTAGTCCATTATAAAAAAAAAATTAGTCACCTGATCCCTATGGACCCACTTTGGTCTTTCTGTGGGACTAGTGTAGGTCTTTTTTGAATTTGTGATGGACCACGATTTTAATTAAATTGATCTACTTTAAATTTTTTAAGGACCTCGAGACTAATTTTTTTTGTAAAGGACTAAATTGAGAATCATGTTTTTTGTTAGGGACTTAAAAAATTATTTACTCCTAATATATATATTGAATCAAGAGACAAATAACAATCTACAAAAAAAAAAAAAAAAAATTAAAATCAAAAAGTTTATGACCGCACTTGCGGGCATTTGCCCGCAAGTGGGTCCGCCAATGCTTTCACCCAACACCGACAATCCACACTATAAACATGTTTAGCATGGTTGTGAGTATCGTAACTAATATATATGAGAATCGAGTCTCGTAACTGCTACTTACAAGAATAGGAGTCTCGTAACTGACACTTACGATAGTTGTGTAAAGTTTACAACCAGGTCTGTATATATAGAACCTCCGCTCTGAGAATGAATTGATCAGTTTCTTATATTCGTTCTTCTACTAGAATTTTTACTTTGTGTTTCACTTAGAATTTCTATGTTTATCACTCGCAATTTGTATCTTATGATGTTGCTTATTTCTCTATTTTGAGCCATAACTACCCTCCAAGTTTTTGTTTTATTTGCATAAAAACACTGCTACAACGGATCAATTTCATTCATTCCTATATTACAATGGTTCTAAAGTTAACGGTGCAGGCGGTTTAAGATTCGAAGGGGAGAAAAGAGCAGTGTATTTGTCCGAAGCATGTTCGTTGAAGATTTAAATGAGAAGATTCGTCGAAAATTGAAGCTGCAACAAAATCAGGTAATATCTTCAGTTATGGATAGAGTCTCGTGTGGAAATAGCAAATATGCAGATTTTGAAATATCTGATGATGAGGACGTCGATGTTTTCCTTAGAACATTTGTTGAGTTATACGTGCATATTAAGACATCAAAGAATCTATCAATACTAATTCGTGGGTTGGACCTTAATAGTCAGTCACATTATGTATCGTATTCTGTACCCTAGCCCACACAATCAAACATTACACATGGAGAAGAAAACGACTATATGGTATATGTTAAATGATAAGTCTCCAATTTACTATGTATTAAGGGTTAATATGAGCATGAAATTGATTTAAAAGTAATTAAAAGTTATGAGAATTATAATTAAATTGTTATTTTATTTTCAATAATATTCTCATAAGATTTATGATATTTTGCAATAATTTCAGCTCAATAAATAGATAAATTAGAGATATCAAGTAGAGTTGCTTTGGATTTCCGAATTATTCAAGATCTTATCAAATATTTGTTGAATATTTTTAAGAAGAATTTTCCATTAAATAAAAAGGGAAAGATTTGAAGGATTGAATCAAAGATATGATTAAAGATTATAGTGAAGATTCCATTGAAGATGTGATCAGGATTTCTAAGCAAAGCATAAACTCTATAAATAGAGACTCAGACCTCAGAGACAAACAATCTTTGGCTGGAGAGAATTCTTGGAGGCTCACGCTGGAGATCAGGATTCCGACGGAGTTGAAGAACAAAGATCATTGATCTTTCTTCTTCTTCTTCTTTATTGTTTCATGAATACTTTTTATTTCTTTAATTTGTTTAAGCCAGATATGTCTGACTAGTTTGTTTTTGTAGTTGGGATCACGAACCCAATGTGAATCCTTTATATTTTCTGTATTGCTATTTTATAATTTAATTAGTTAGTTTGTTTTATTCTACCCGTGTTAATTTTTTCATATCCTGTTTAGAACTGATCACTCT